TGGTAATTAATATTCCTGGATATACAAATTTTATGGTGACTCTAAGGACGGTTAGAGAGCAAACCCGATTTCAGAGCTATAATATATATGAAAGCTCGGGCCCTATTTGCGAGAGGGTTCTTTCGATTTTGTTCTTGTACATATATGTTCATATGAATATGGTATTTTGTTTATTAACATGTATTGTGCCCATAGATATGTGTAATACCTTAACTTTGCCAATCACTTTTCGTATAAATTTATTTTTCAATAGGGTTTCATGTAAAAGAAAATATCAACATAAAAGAAAATATCAACCCAATTTACATGGTTTCATGTAAACTGGGTTGTCTTCGAGGGCAAACAGCTTGGGATCCTGGCTCTCATGCGCCAATTCAACTAGCAATACCATGAATGGGTCAGTTTGCCTGTTGCTACCCCACATCTTTTGTCCCTTTACAACAGCCAGTAGTTGCGGCCTTGCGGGGTATCCAACTGAAATGGTCTGTAAGTGGGATGGAGCAACTAAGAGTGGGTCTCACTCGGTAGGTGGGATGATTATTCTGGACAAGGCAGGGGTTGTCGTTTTGGCAAGAGGGGCTCAGTTCCCGGAGTTGGATGATCCTATGGTGGTGGAGTTGCTCGTTCTTCTGGAGGTAATTCTGTAGTGTTTAAGCCGGGGACTTTCGGAGATAAGATTTGAAGGTGATGCCAAAGTGGTCGTTGACAAGATCCACCAGTCTGATACCCGAGATAGTTGGATGGGCGCAATCCCGGAGGAGGTCGTGCATTACTTCGCGATTAATAGTGGCCTAAGTGTGCGATTTGTAGGTCAAATTAAAAAAAAATTTCAACATAAAATATGCATGCATTGCACTTAAAGTTCAACTTCTTAGAAGAAGGATGGCAATATCGAACCGCAGGATTAAACATTTGACCTATCTGGTTGAATAAACTATCTACGTCCACTGACCAAATGATATGATGTTGTACGATTCATCGGTGTCACGCCTACCACGTGTATAGGGGCATGAGCAGCTATGAGCTTGGTAGTGTTTTGCTGGAGTTGAATCAATTATACTGTTCATCATTAACTAGGGAGTTTTACTCCCACATTTTCCTCTCTATTTTGATATTTTCATTTTCAGCCGTTCCCAAATACCGGCAAGACTTCAGAGAATCCAATAACTGAATATACTTCCAACAGAACATAAACAACCCCTTTTTTTGGACGAGTACCTTGTAATAATATTACCAAACATGATTTTGAAACAGAAGAAACTAAAAACTGTCTTCTCTTGTTGTCTGTTCAATGTTCATTCGACGGAGAAGGACAAACAACAAAAAAAGACACAAGGGCCAACATTGGACTAGTGGATCGATTGCTAATTTGCTATACTTTGCTAGAGAACGACTTGAAAGAATCCAAAGGGAGGGGGGCCGAAATTGACAGTATTTTTACTGTATTGTCGGAATTTTGAAACAGCAAAGTCAGGTTCTAAAATGTTTTGTGGTAACTTAGTATTTAAGAAATTCGATTATGAGATCTCCATATTTAAAACTAGTGATATTATTAGTAAAATAATTTCTCCTTTGTGTTTTCGTCTTTTAACTTAAATGACTCTCGTCTATCTAGTATGATAGTTTAATATGATAGTCGATAGAGTGTTGCGTTCAACACCATACTACATGTTCTTGATATATAGGACGGTTAAGGATGAGATACTCATACTTAATAATACAAATACGTACGTGTACAGCATGTAAAATTGTACATGTACAATCCCCAATGTGAAGCAAGCAAGCAAAATGAATCATATATTATTTTTGAATCCTGATAAATTGCCGAAAAACACTTGAAATCACGTGAAAAGAGAACTTGGGGGTCGTTTGGTTTTGGTGATTGTTTGGTTGAGATAGTTACAATACATGTATTGTCCACAATGCATCAATTTCTGAATTTTGCTGCACAAACAATACATGCATTGTTTGCTTTATGTGCCACAAACTATCACTCAAAATGAGTGATATCTCAAGTTTTTTGTGAGATTGTTGAGAATGTGTGATTGAGATTGTTGTTTTTTTTTCATTCAACTTTGTCCTTACCTTTTTATGTGTCTTACTTTTTAATTTTTATATTACAAACAAATTAAGGGTAAAAGTGACATTTCACCCAAAAAGTAAAATAACTTATCTAAATAACACAATAACTATCACACAAACCAAACGATACAAACTAAAATACACAGATTTTTTTATACATACATATATATATATATATTATGCATGCATTAATGACAATACATATATTTAACAATACAACTTTTTTTTTTTTTTGCATCATATGGAGGCACTAGGCCGAGAAAGAATACAGAAGGAGGTTAAACATGGGGAGAAGAGCTTGCCACAACACGGCGCTCAAAAGTGACACCTTGCACGTCGTCCTGAAGCAAAAGGGCAACACCAGTGGGCGGGTCTGCCAACTCATGCATCCCGTAGGGATAGACGAGACTGTGCTTCGAGAGCCAGTCCGCGACTCTATTCCCTTCGCGGTATGTATGAGATAGGCTGACCAGCCAATCTTGACTTAGCTTCCTGCGAATAAGGCCTAAAAGAGTAGCGTAGGGGTGGATGGGATCATGCCTGTTCTGAATCAATTGGATGGCTAACTGAGAGTCTGAAGCCACCCGCACCATTCGAAAACCAAATTTCCAAGTTAACAATACATCTATTTAACTATCATTAAAACCAAACCAACCTTAATTGCATTTGCATGTACTCCGGACTAACGTCAAACAATCTGTTGGGAAGTCAGGTAGGTAGGACCCTTTCCCTCCTTTGAGCGATCACGTTTTGTTTGTCAGTGATCTTACGCTGGGATTGTCCGTATCTGATCACGGAATTTTGAATTCAAAACCCATTTTTTAATGGGGTCTGGTGGTTTGACTAGACTAGCAATGGTCTGTCCACTCCAGTCTAGCAAAAGCTGCTGCAGTTCCATCTCATGCGCCACGCCATATGCCAACCCAAAAGTAACCGACAATCTCTTTGCCACTTGGCACTGTCCTTCCAGTTACTGGGTCAATGCCTGCATCATTGACAGCGAAACGAGTGAGTAAAACTGTAAAAAGGTTAAAAAAAATAAAAGGGAAGAAGAAAGAAGAGAAAAAAGCACACAACCCACCCAGCAGCCTTGACTAAAAATTACCTGCAATTGTGATCCAGAAAGAAAGAAAAGAATGAATGAATGAAAGCGAGGGTCTTCCCACAAATGCTAAATTGCCAAACTAGGGTGTATGAGAAAAGATTTGGAATGAGGTCGCCCTAATTAACTATTGTGACAACTATGTTTTAGATCAGGTAAAAAGAACCCCCACAATGATTTACTGCATTCCAGTAACTTCTATGCAATAAATGATAATTCTTATTGCGAGATCAACCTACTTAAATGCATCCGTACTTTAAGGTTGTCTTATGACTTAAGATTAAAATTAAGTATGAATAGAATTATAGAAAGATTTGACATTAAGCGCACTGCTTACCATGCCACTTGCGTGGAGAGCTCGAGACTATGAAAGAGATCCACAACGGACTAATAGGAAGCGATACTAAGTGAAATGCACAATTTACGTGTCACCACCGTCCTAACAGATACATTCAGTTTATCATTGTCATCTCGTGACAATGTACACATATTACAGATTTACAATGACCCCTTCTTCTCGATGACATCTATTAATACTAATGATGAATGAAAAAAAACAACTTCATGTAATTGATTAAATAGTAACTCAAAAGGCGAGAACTCATTTTTCTCATGTCGTATTAGAGAACCTACACATTGCCCCCATTGAATCATTTCCACTTCCACGCTTTCCAGTTGGAATCAGTCAGCTTCCTAACCATAAGAGTGGTTAGTACCATGCTAACCAGAAGTTGTAGTAGTACAATTATAATTGTAGCCTTTTTTTTACAGTTATATTAGTTTTTTGGTATTGAAGTTATTGGACTACAACTTTGACCAAATTATAGTTATAGTCATTGTATTTTTTTCGTTTACTGATAATAACCCTACAGAATTAACTCAAGTTCTTACTTGGCACTCCATCTGATAATTTTGCCTAAAGCTTTCTCATCACCATAGTACAAGCCACTGCAGCAAGACGAGAATTAGGATGGCAACAAAAACCGAATTCACGGGTACTCACCCGATCCAACCCGGTCAACACGGGTAAAATCCGTATTGACAGGTTTTGGGCCGGGTTTGGGTTTAAACCCGCTCACTATTTACCGGGTTGGGTTTGAGTTTAGGTAAACCCGGTCCATGGGTACCCGCCCACACCCATATAATTAATTTTCTTGATATATTTAATATTATAAACAATTAATCTTATTTATGTTTGTGGAGACATGTCTAATTTTTTTTTCTTCTAATTGTGTAGAATGAAGTTGATCTTATCGAGTGGAGGGTGAAGAAACTTAATCGAAAGGAAGAAGTTTTCAATTAATCATGTTATTTATGGATTAATTTATGATTTGTTTCAATTTTCTTGAGTTTTCTAGATCGATGTTGAACAATTGTATAGTTAATTTGTGATTTGCTTGAATTTTCTAGAATGATGTTTTATATATTGATAATTTTGTACTGAGAGATTAATATTTGAGTTTAATTTTGATAGGAACTTGTTATTGTAAATTTTTTAGACAAAAACCCGTGGGTACCCATGAACCTGTGTATACCCAACGAGTTGAGTTTGAGTTTTACCCCGAATTTTTTTCACAAATAAACCTATAAATTTGGATTTGGCAAAACTCGAACCAACCCGACCCATTGCCATCCCTAACGAGAATCAGTAGTGGAAAAGACCAAACCATCCTCATCCCTCTCACCGCTCTTGTCTCTCTCTGTTCTGATGGAACAGGAATGGAACCCCATCAGACGCCATTACTAGCCAAAATGCTACCCTACAAAAGGAGCTCCTTCCTGAAAAGTCCCCTCATCCAACGGCCCACAGCCACAACCAAATCAAAATCTCTATTTTTTTTGTTAATTTTCAAAATTTTCATCCTCTTAATTTTATAATGTACTTGCTCCCCTGTTCAGACCTCTGCTCCACTCTTTTTTGGGCTGCGGTTCTCGATATGGTGGTACACTCGTTTCCCAGTCCAGAAAATTAAACTAATAATTAACCATTTGTCCATTTACAGAGAGAACAGCAGAGCACCCTCCATTAATATTCCAAGCAGCTTTCCTTTCCCCACTCTTTTCAACCCCAACAGCAAAACAAGCTAAAAAACAGAGCATAAGAAAAAAACAGAGTGATAGAGTAACTGCAAGTTGGGAAAAAGAAGACAATGGCTTCTGCTGTTTCTTCAGCAATTTCCCTCCTCTTCTTCTTCTTGTTCTCCATTCCTGTTTTCGTTTTGGTAGTGGTTCATGGAACCACCATCTCCGAGGAGCTAAGTTCGCTGCTGGAAGTGAAATCAGCTTTGGACCCTGAAGGAAAGTACCTTTCTTCGTGGACCATCAATGGCGACCCGTGCGGCGGCTCTTTCGAAGGAGTTGGGTGCAATGAGAAAGGTCAGGTTGCTAACATTTCGCTACAGGGGAAAGGGCTTCATGGGAAGATATCCCCTGCCATTTCTGGATTGAAGAATTTGACTGGTCTCTACTTGCATTACAACTCCCTGTACGGCGAAATCCCTTCAGAGATTGGGAACTTGACCGAGCTCGTTGACTTGTACTTGAATGTCAACAATCTCTCCGGTGAAATCCCTCTTCAGATTGGCAACTTGGCTAAACTCCAAGGTTAGGCCCCTCAAAATTAAATAATCTCTACTCTGTTTTTGGCTTCCCCTGTTTCAGAACAGTATGCTAATAATTTCTTTTGTTCTCTTTCAGTGTTGCAGCTGTGTTACAACCAGTTTAATGGAAGCGTACCCATCCAGATAGGTTCATTGAACAAGCTAACCGTTCTCGCCCTTCAGTCAAATCGATTTAATGGCGCCATCCCAGCAAGCCTAGGCAATCTAGGGATGCTAACCCGCCTAGATTTGAGCTTCAACCATTTCTTCGGCTCAATCCCAACGAAGCTCGCCGATGCTCCTGTTCTCCAACTTCTAGACATCCGTAACAACACTTTCTCCGGCAATGTCCCTCTCGGTAAGCTACAAAAAATTTAACCCTCTTCTCTTCTGCATCTATTTCTTCATCTGGGTTAGTTGTATTAGATCGAAAATTGCTTAAAGTGTGCATCTTTTCCCCCCTTTTGCTCTGTTTTCCTTTTGGGTTCGTCTATTTGGATGTTAATTTGCTTAAAGTATGCATCTTTCTTCTCTCAGCTCTCAAGAGACTCAATGAGGGTTTCGTATTTGCAAACAACCCGGGACTATGCGGGTCGGGTTTCATGTCTTTGAGACCTTGCAATGCCTCAGAAGGAACCAATTCAAATAGACCAGAAGCTTATGGACCAGGAGATGGGATTCCAAGTACAAGGGAAATCCCTCAAACAGCCGATTTAAGACTCCCTTGCAGCCAAAATCAAACTCACTGCTCCTCAAATCCAGCAACCCACCACCATCAAGCAGCCTCATTCATCGTGGGCTCAATCGTTCTCACCATAGCAGTGCTAGCCATTTCAGCACTCTCATTCATTCACTACCGCCGCCGCAAGCAGAAGCTCTCAAGCACATTCGAGCTGTCAAATCCCCCTACTGATCAGCAATCAAAGGGAGGGATTTACAGGAAAAACGGCTCCCCACTAATCAGCCTGGAGTATCCCAACGGTTGGGACCCTCTTGCTGATGGCAAGAACTGTGGGAATGGCTCCCAGGACTTTCTTGAGAGCTTCAAGTTCAACTTGGAGGAAGTGGAAACTGCAACGCAGTACTTCTCCGAGACGAACTTGCTTGGGAAGTCGAAGTTTAGTGTGACGTACAGAGGGATTCTGAGAGATGGATCCGGTGTGGCGATCAAGAGCATTAGCAAGAGCAGCTGCAGGTCGGATGAGGCTGAGTTTCTGAGAGGGTTGAGTGCTTTGACATTGTTGAGGCATGAGAATTTGGTGAGGTTTAGAGGCTTCTGCTGCTCGAGAGGGCGCGGGGAGTGCTTCCTGATCTATGATTATGTTCCTAACGGCAACTTGTTGAGCTATCTGGATGTCGAGGAAGGTGGTGGCCGTGTTCTTGAATGGTCCACCAGAGTCTCCATTGTTAAGGGCATCGCCAAAGGTCAGAACTTTCCCTTCCCTCTAGTTTTTACTTTTCGTGTTAAGACATACAATGCACAGCAAGAACATTTGATGTCATGTGAACGATCTCTAAATTTCATTGTGGTTTATGTTTTCTGCAGGCATAGCTTACTTGCACGGCTACAAAGCCAACAAACCGTCCATGATCCACCAGAACATCACAGCCGAAAAGGTCCTAATTGATCAGAGGTTCAACCCGGTGTTAGCCGATTCAGGCCTGCAGAACCTCCTCACAAATGACACTGTCTTCTCGGCACTGAAAGCCAGCGCGGCAATGGGTTACATGGCTCCAGAGTACTCCACTACAGGTCGGTTTACGGACAAGAGTGACGTGTATGCCTATGGGGTGATCGTGTTCCAGATCCTCTCGGGAAAGCGCAACGTTTCCAACCTGGTGCGGTTGGGAGCTGAGGCATGTAGGTTCCAGGATTACCTTGACCCAAATGTCCATGGACGGTTCTTCGAATACGAAGCTGCCAAGCTTGCTAGGGTTGCTTGGCTTTGTACCCATGAGTCTCCTATTGAGAGACCTTCTATGGAGGTTGTTGTTCAGGAATTAGGTAACTTCAGTAGCTGCATTTAAGCTTAGGTCTAGCTTTGCAGGTGTACGGTCCTTTTTCTTCTAACTTAGGGGAGGATGAAAGTAAGATCTTGTCACTATTAATCTCAAATTTTCAAATTGCTTGAAGGCTACCTTCTTGTAGCCTTGAAGCCAGAAGGAGATGGTGGCAGGTTTAGAGGATTAGGAGAAAGGCTAATTAGTATCATGGGATGATGGTTAACTCCAGCCATCATAGAAACTTTGCAGCTTTGTAATCTGTAGTTTCACTTCATCCCCCGTTGATTAGTGTCCAACTGGACTCTTGTTGTAATGTAGTTTTGTAGTTAGATTATTTGCTGCCTGTTGGTCTAGTGATCGCGGATTTCTGTCTTTTGTGGAAAAATCAGTGGAATGATTCTGAAATTCCTTTGTAGGTGATTTTGATTTCTGAGGGGATTCATGATATGATGAACCAAAGAGACAATTAGTAAGCAACATTCATGTAAGCACAACAGGTCCTCAGACTCTCAGAGTGATTATGGTAACATATTGTTGAACAACCAACAATGACGAACTGATAGAGCGTTACTGTTTCGATACTGTAGTGCCAGATTGATCGTCTCAAGAGTCAAGAGACAACTAGGAACATTATTTGGCAGTAACATTTCAAATCCTTATGGTTGGATTCTTTCTTTGAGTTGTGACCTTAAATTAGGCCCACCATGGAGCCAACCTTTTTGTTTGCTTAACTTCTTCCACCTTAGGCCAAAGGGACAAGGAGGTATTTCAGCTGGGCCTGACTGACAGTGACTGAGGGCCTCTTGAGCCTTACCACCACCAGTCCACCACCATCATCTATCTTCATCATCGTCAAAGGAATTGACTGATATGTGCATTAAAGGGCTCTGCAACTGCAACCAGGCTGTAGAACACTCTCTTCTCTGACAAATTTGAGCAGTGAGTGTTTGAATGTTGTGGCTGTAATGGGACAGACATGGCCATTTCATAGCTATACAGATCTTATTGGCAAAGCTTCATTTATTATTGTGAATTTGGGTATGGCCTGAAATTAGGTTCCTAAAGCAGTAGGGATGGCAACGAAACCCGAACCCACGGGTACTGTCACGACCTTACTCTCGATCGTGCGGCCCTAGCTCTCAAATCCGTTAGAGCGCTAGGCAGCCTTTCTCTCAACTCGCTTGAAAGCAAAGAACAAGAACACAAGACAAAGGATTGGGAGAACTCTCTAGTGTGTATTACTCTCAAAAATGATGGAATGAGTTACAAGTGAGGGAGATGGCTCCTTATATAGGCCTCTCCTCATACAAGGCATCAATGCCCCTCATAATGTCCCTCTACTACATCAATACACCCATTAAGTCCCCCCATTATGCACTCTATAAATACTACCATAATGTAGCTAATAAGTGCACCATTAAGCTCTCTATTAAGGTGGAGAATCCTAGGAGCATCTCTATGCTACTAGTCTTCCATGCATGACACATGTGCAGCCTTGTTGTCACCTTGTTGGTGCCATGTCATCGGCCACATGTGACATCCTCCCCCACCTATGCTCGCGACGCCCTCGTCGCGTCCTCTTGATGGAATGCCTCGATCAAGTCCTTGTTCTTCCAAAGCGTGAGCTCTTTCTCCCAAGTTGCTTCACTTTCCGGAAGGTTGCGCCACTTGACCAAGTACTCCACAAAGCTTGGATGTACGCCACGACGAGGAATGACACGACGCGCCATGACTTCTTCAACTTCATGGTCGTGTGTCTTGGTGATGAGTGTTGGAGCGCGCTGCGACTCTCTTCGTTGCTCATCATCCTTGTCTTCGTGGAAAGGTTTGAGTTGGCTCACATGAAAGACCGGATGGATCTCCAAGTGCGTCGGCAACTCAACCTTGTATGCCACCGCGCCAATCCTCTTCACGATGGGGAATGGCCCTTCATAGCGGCGAAGCAGTCCCTTGTGCACGTTCTTGAGATGCTTGAAGCGATGAGGGTAGAACTTGATCATCACCATGTCTCCCTCTTCGAATTCCAAGTGCAGCCTCTTCTTGTCCGCCCATTTCTTCATCTTCTTACTAGCGCGTGCTAAGTAAGACTTGGCCATCTCCATCTTCTCGTGCCAGCCTTTAGCGAACTTGTAGGCTGCCGGACTGTTGCCTCTATACCCTGTTGCCACCGTCGTAGGTGTCAAAGGTTGCTGCCCCGTCGCCAACTCAAATGGACTCGTGTTGGTCGACTCGCTGCGGTGCAAGTTGTAGGAGAATTGTGCCGTATCCATCAACTTCACCCAGTCTCGTTGGTTTGCACTTACGTAGTGGCGCAAGTACACTTCCAACAAGGCATTCACCCACTCCGTCTGTCCGTCGCTTTGAGGATGAAATGCCGTCGAGAAGTTCAAATCTGAGCCCATGATCTTGAACAACTCTCGCCAAAATCTGCCCGTGAAGCGCCCATCTCTGTCGCTCACGATGTTGCTAGGAACGCCCCAATACTTGACCACGTTCTTGAAGAATAGTCGCGCCGCATCCTCTGCCGTCATGTCTTTTGGGCCGGGAACGAACACTCCATACTTCGAGAATCTGTCCACCACAACCATGATGCAACCGCATCCATCGACTTTAGGAAGTCCGATGATGAAGTCCATGCTTACACTCTCCCATGGTCGTTGAGGTGTGGGCAAGGGCTCTAGCAAGCCTGCCGGGCTTCTCTGCTCCATCTTGTCTTGTTGGCACACCAGACAAGTCTTCACATACATCTCCACGTCGTCTCTCATACGCGGCCAGAAGTATGCTTCTTCGATGAGCGCTTGCGTTCTCTCGATGCCGGGATGGCCCGCCCACTTGGAGTCATGGCACTCCTTCATGATCTCCTTCCTCAAGTTGGCCCACCTTGGCACGAACACACGCTCTCCCTTGGTCATGATGAGTCCATCCTTCATCCAAAACCGTCGAGTCTTGCCTTGCTCGATGTACTCCGCTACGGTTTTGGCGAAGGGGTCATGGCCAAGGCCTTCAACGATCCGCTCCTTCAAAGGAAACATGGGCTGGATGATGCTTGCGGCGGCACTCTTGCGGCTAAGAGCATCGGCAACGGAATTCGCCTTGTCTGGGTTGTACTCCATGACGAAGTCGAACTCGGCCAAAAAGTCTTGCCACCTCGCTTGCTTGGGGGTGAGCTTCTTCTGCGTCAGAAAGTAGCTCGTTGCCACGTTGTCCGTCTTCACTACGAACTTTGAACCCAACAAGTAGTGCCTCCATGTGCGCAAGCAATGCACCACGGCCGTCATCTCCTTCTCTTGAACGGTGTATCGCCTCTCCGTCTCGCTAAGCTTCCGACTCTCGAAGGCAATGGGATGCCCATCTTGCATCAACACTCCTCCAATTGCAAAGTCAGATGCATCGGTCTGCACTTCGTAGGCCAACGTTGGGTTGGGGAGCACGAGCACGGGCTCCTTTACCACCGCTTGCTTCAAGGTCTCGAATGCTTCTTGGCACCTTTCCGACCAATCCCACGCCTTGTCCTTCTTCAAGAGATCCGTCAAGGGTGCTGCAATGTTGGAGTAGCCCTTGATAAACCTCCGATAGTAGTTGGCAAGGCCGAGGAATGACCGCAACTCTGGCACCTTCGTCGGCGGCTCCCATTCTTGGATTGCCTGCACCTTCGCTCCATCCATCTTCAACTTGCCTCCACCAATGATGTGCCCCAAGAATGGAACCTCCGTGGCGGCAAATGTGCACTTCTCCCTCTTGACATACAACTCGTTGTCGCGAAGGACTTGGAAGACTTGGCGTAGATGCTCGGCATGCTCATCGAGTGTTTTGCTATACACGACGATGTCATCCAAGTAGACCACGACAAACCGGTCCAAGAATGGCTCGAACACTTGATTCATCAAAGTGCAAAACGTGGCTGGTGCGTTGGTGAGACCGAATGGCATCACAAGAAACTCGTAAGAGCCATACCTCGTCACACAAGCTGTCTTTGGCTCGTCGCCCTCTGCTATCCGCACTTGATAGTATCCCGAGCGAAGATCAAGCTTGGTAAACCACATCGCATCTCCAAGCTGGTCGAACAGATCGCCAATGTTGGGAATCGGCCACTTGTTCTTCACCGTCAACTTGTTGATGGCTCTATAGTCGATGCACATGCGCAACGACCCTTCCTTCTTCTTTTGGAACAACACCGGTGCTCCAAAAGGTGACTTCGATGGCCGCATGTAGCCTGCGTCCACCAAGTCCTTGAGCTGCCTCCGCAACTCTTCTAACTCCGTTGGCGACATGCGGTATGGTGCTCGCGAAGGGGGCTTCGCTCCTGGCTCCAACTCGATCTTGTGGTCCACCTCTCTTCTTGGTGGCAGCTTCTTGGGCAACTCCGATGGCATCACGTCGTCGAACTCTTCGAGGACACCTTCGATGAGGGGAGTTGTGATTCCCGCTGAGCCTTCTTCTTCCTCCATTTTCAAGGACACAAGAAAGGTTGGTTCATTCTTCTTGAACCCCTTCAATACCTGCATGGCCGATAAAGCACTATGGGGGCCATCTTCTCTCAAGAGATGGATCGTGTGAAACTCCCCCTCTTTCTCCAAGCACATCGTGTTGGAGTTGGGCTTCAAGAGCACTCCCTCCTTGTCGAGGAAGTTGATGCCGAGGATGACTGGGTGATTGTCCATGGTGACGACGGAAAAGTCGATGAGGCCTTCCCACTCGCCAAGCTTCACTGGCACGTTGTGAGCAACTCCATGGATCGGGATGGACTCCGAGTTGATCGTCTTGAGCCTCCCTTGCCCCTTCTTGTAAGCAATACCCAGCCGGTTTGCCTCCTCGATGCGAAGGAAGTTGTCCGTGGCACCGGTATCCACCAAGGCTTTTGACTCGCCTTGCATGAATTGCGCCAGAACATAGCACCTCCCACGCTTGCTCTCCTTGACGTCGGTCTTTGCCGCGCCAAGCTTGCGGATTGAGCCAATCTTGGCCTCCGCCGCCTTGGGCTCCTCTTCTTGAGCTTCCATGGCCGCCAATCTCGCCTTCCTTGGGCAATCCCGCACTCGATGTGGTCCGTCGCAAAGGAAGCAAGACATGGATTTTGGCTCGTACTTACCCCCTTTGCTCGAACCACCTTGGTGTTGTTGAGCGCGAGTGCCCTCCTTGAAAGGCTTCTGCTGTTCTCCACCCTTGTTGGGCTTCGAACTCTTCTCTTTGCCGCTGCTCTCTTGCCTTTTGTACTCGACAAAAGACTCCGCCGTGGTCATGGCAGTTGCAAGGTCTTGCACTCCTCGACGTTGCATCTCCATCTTGGCCCATGGTTGCAGCCCATCAAGAAAGCCGTGCATGGCCTCCTTGTCCGTGATGTCCGGGATCTCTAGAAGCAGTTCCGAGAATTCTTTCACGTATTCTCGAACTCCACCCCTCTGGGTGAGTCTTCTCAACTTCGAACGGGCTTCAAATTCCACGTTCTCTGGGTAGAACTGCCTCTTGATTTCTCTCTTGAAATCTTCCC